ATTATTGTTTTTATGTGTTTAAGGATTCCATTGGTTAATATTTTACTGAAGATTTTTGCATTTATGTTCATGAGGTATATTTGGTTGTGTCTGAAACAAATTTTTTTATGCTGTCTTTTGTATCAGGATAATCCTGGCCTTATAAATTGAGTTGAGAGTGTTCTCATCTCTTCTTATTTCTGGAAGAGATTGTATGGAATTGGTATTAATTTTCCTCAAATAATTGGTAGAATTGCCACCGCAACCATCTGTGCTAGAAGGTTGCTTTTCTGGAAATTTTTAACTGCAAGTTCAGTTTCTTTAATTTTAATTTGATTTCATCTAGGTTTTCAAATCTATGTCTATAGAGTTGTTCTTAGTATTCCTTCATCATCTGTTCAGTGTTTATGGAATCTGTAGTGATAGCCCCCTCTTTCGTTATTGATATTGTTACATTTTTCCTTCTGCTTGTTTGGATTTATTTTAGTTTTATTTTTCTAGCTGTTTAAAATTAAAGGCTATTGATTTGAGGACTTTCTTCTTTTCTCTGGTAAATATTTAATGCTATCAATTTTTTAATTTTTGCAAAAAACTTTATGTGGTAGAAAAAATAACTTAGATCTGAGAGTTAGGGGTATATCAGATATACATTTACATGTAAGATAAGATATTTGTGACATATTGAGTCCTGAGTCCATCAACTTACTTGAAGGAGGGGAACAAAATGATCCCAAATGTGAAAGCTCTTGACAGCCTAGTGGAGAATTAATCACGGAGTGATAATAGGCAAGAGTTTTCAGAAAGCAATGAATAGGCAACACATCCTCTACACAGGGTGGTTAGCTTTTCTGCAAGGCTCTAGACCTCTTCTTCTAAAAGGCATCTGATGGCCTTGTGTACACTAGCATTCTTTAGTCCTACCTGCTCCTACTTATGTCTCTTCTACTGTGAAATACTGATAAACGTTGTAGGTGTGTTGATGGTATACTTTTTACAATATACCCATTTGTACCCAGTGTGATTCCCTCAATAAATTTTTTTTGGTTGCCATCATCTTTGTTTTTTAAAAAAGTTATTATTTTTAACTATTATGGAAATATAGTAGTTATGTATGCTCAATAAATAATAAATATTTCTGATGTCCTTGAGGCCACAAAATAATTATTTTAAGTCCCATATTTTGATGAATTTATAGTTTCCTGAGGTAGAAGCACAGTATACACAAATGAAATCTATATCAATCTGTAATTACTGTCATTTAATTTAAATATACTATGCGCCAGACATATGTGCTGGGTGTGATACATACATTTAATATTTACCACCGTCTTGCAAGGTATAAATAATATGGAGGACAGTTTCATAGAAACCAGAAAAAGCCCAGGACAAGACAGATTTATAGCCAAATTCTACCATATGTATACAGAAGAGCTGGTACTGTTCCTAGTGAAACTATTCCAAAAAAATGAGGAGGAGGGGTTTTCTAACTGAGGCCAGTATGATCCTGATACCAAAACCTGGCAGAGGCAAAACTAAAAAAGAAAACTTCAGGCCAATATGCATAATGGACATAGATACAAAAATCCTCAACAAAAGACTGGCAAAGCAAATGCTGAAAGTCCTAATTAGAATAGTCAGGCAACAGAAAGAAAGAAAAGGCATCCAGGTCAGGCGTGGTGGCTCACGCCTGTAATCCCAACACTTTAAAAGGTCGAGATGGATGGATCACCTGATGTCAGGAGCTCAAGACCAGCCTGACCAACGTGGTGAAAACCCATCTGTAGTAAAAATAGAAAATTAGCTGGGCCTGGTGGTGTATGCCTGTAATCTCAGCTACTTGGTAGGCTGAGGCAGAATCGCTTGAAGCCAAGAGGTGAGGGTTGCAGTGAGGCAAGATCACGCCATTGCAAGCTAGCTTGGGCAACAAGAGTGAAACTCCATCTCCAAGTAAATAAATGCCATCCAAACAGAAAAAGAGGAAGTCAAACTATTTCTGTTTGCAGATAGTATGATTCTATATCTAAAAAACCTCATAGTCTCTGCCCAAGAGCTCCATAAGCACCTTCAACAAAGTTTTAGGATACAAAATCAATATACAAAAATCAGTACCATTTCTATACATCAAAAATATCTAAACTGAGAGCCAAATGAAGAATGAATTTGAATTCACAACAGGAGATAAAGAATAAACACCTAGGAATACAGATAACCAGGAAGGTGAAAGATCTGTACAAGGAGAACTACAAAACACTGCTCAAAGAAATGAGAGACTCACCATTCCTATTTAACATAGTATTGGAAGTTCTAGCCAGAGCAATCAGGCAAGAGAAAGAAATAAAGGGTATTCAGTTAGGAAAAGAGGAAGTCAAATTGTCTCGGTTTGCAGATGACATGATTCTATATTTAGAAAACCCCATTGTGTCAACCCAGAATCTCCTCAAGCTGATAAGCAACTTAAGCAAAGTCTAAGGATACAAGATCAATGTGAAAAAGCCATAAGCATTGCTATACACCAATAACAGACAAACAGAGAGCCAAATCATGAGTGAGTTCCCATTCACAACTGCTACAAAGAGAATACAATGCCTAGGAATGCAACTTACAAGGGATGTAAAGGACCTCTTCAAGGAGAATTGCAAACCACTGCTAAAGGAAATAGGAAAGGACACAAACAGATGGAAAAACATTCCATGCTTGTAGATTGGAAGAATCAATATAGTGAAAATGGCCATAATGCCCAAAGTAATTTATAGAGTCAATGCAATCCTCATCAAGCTACCATTGACTTTCTTCACAGAAGTGGAAAAAATTACTTTAAATTTCATATGAAACCAAAAAAGAGCCTGCATAGCCAAGACAATCATAAGCAAACAGAACAAAGCTGGAGGCATCCCACTACCTGATTTCAGACTATACTACAAGGCTGCAGTAACCAAAACAGCATGGTACTGGTACCAAAACAGATATATAGCCAATAGAAAAGAACAGAAGCCTCAGAAATAACACCACACATCTACAACCATCTGATCTTTGACAAATCTGACCAAAAAAAAAAAAAAAAAAAAGCAATGGGGAAAGGATTCCCTGTTTAATAAATGGCATTGGCAAAACTGGCTAGCAATATGTAGAAAGTTGAAACTGGATCCCGTCCTTACACCTTATACAAAAAGTAACTCAAGATGGATTACAGACTTAAACATAAGACCTAAAGGCATAAAAACCCTGGAAAAAAACCTAGGCAATACCATTCAGGACATAGGCATGGGCAAAGACTTTATTACCAAAATGCCAAAAGCAATGGCAACAAAAGACAAAGTAGACAAATGGGATTTAATTAAACTAGAGAGCTTCTGCACAGCAAAAGACACTATCATAAGAATGAACAGGGAACATACAGAATGGGAGAAAATGTTTGCAATCTACCCGTCTGACAAAGGGCTAATATCCAGAATCTACAAAGAACTTAAATAAATTTACAAGAAAAAAACAACCCTACCAAAAAGTGGGTGAAAGTTATGAACAGACACTTCTCAAAAGATGACACTTATGTAGCCAACAAACATATAAAGGAAAGCTCATCATCACTGGTCATCAGAGAAATGCAAATGAAAACCACAATGAGATACCATCTCACACCAGTTAGAATGGCAGTTATTGAAGAGTCAGGATACAACAGATGCTGGAAAGGATGTGGACAAATAGGAATGCTTTTAAACTGTTGGGGGGAGTGTAAATTAGTTCAGCTGTTGTGGAAGACGTGGCAATTTCTCAAGGATCTAAAACTAGAATTACCATTTGACCCAGCAATCCCATTACTGGGATATACCCAAAGGATTGTAAATCACTCTATTATAAAGATACATATACATATATGTTTATTATGGCACTGTTCACAATAGCAAAGACTTGGAACCAACCCACATGTCCATTAATAATAGAATGGATCAAGAAAATGTGGCACATAGACACCATGGAGTACTATGTAGCCACAGGAAAGAATGAGTTCATGTTCTTTGCAGGGACGTGGTTGAAGCTGGAGACCATCATTCTCAGCAAAGTAAACACAAGAACAGAAAACCAAACACCGCATGTTCTCACTCATAAGTGGGAGCTGAATAATGAGAACACATGGACATAGGGAGTGGAATAAACTAGTCTTATGTCCTGAACAACTTGCTTTCTATGGCTGCTAATTGTTAAGCTTTTTCTAAGTTTCGTGAGGCTTGTGTATTTGGCCAAGTCCCTATGTTCTTTATTTATGTATGTACTTACTTCCCTGCCCCTCTTCTCTTTACCCCGAATTGTTGTTTTTCCCTATACCCAGAAGATACAGACTGACAGAGGTGCATGGTGGAGATGGAGACTATAGTTGGAGATAACCAGACTGGAGGGTCATATACACCCTGTCTACAGATTGGCAAAAGGGAGTCAACCAAAATGATAAAGAAAACGTGGCTTATTTCAAAACAATTTCAAACTTATGAAAAAGGTGAAATAATATAAAGAACGTTTGTTTACCCTTCAGCCACAGTCCCTAATTGTTAACATGTTTGCCTTATCATTCTTTTTGTGTGTACTGCATAACCTTTTTTTTTTTTTTTCCTGAACTACCTAAGGGAGGGAAAGGGAAAAGTCTGCTTCAGGATCTGATTAGGATTATATGTAGTAATTAGTAATTAGTTATCCAGGTAAGATTTTTAGAATAAAAAATCGTTGGCATTGAGGCAAATGGATAGTGTGTGGGTTATCCCAATGGGGTTTTAAATAATGTGGCTTTAGAAGATGGATAAACAAGAAGATGAAGGATTTCAAAGGCAGTTTGATGTATAAACGAATTCAGATATTACAATTTCTTTTCATGATATTTTGATGTATACTTATATATAATTCATGTATATTTATAAAGATCACAATATTGTAAATATACTATTAAATTTTGCTTTTACTGTGTAGTTAAGTGATTTGGACTAGTAAGCAAAAGAGCTTCTTGTACAAGTATTATAGTAGCCTCTCTTTTGTAGCACTGAGGTTGAATCAGAAGATAACCAAGAAGAACAGAAACAGGTGCACTTGCCAGAAAGCCGCCTGACACCATGGGAGGTGTGGTTTATTGGCAAAGAAAAAGAAGAACGTGACCGGCTGCAACAGAAAGCTCTAGAGGTAAAAGTAGACGGTGTTCTTTTTATTTAATCTGTGAGCTCACAAAGTAGAGCTGCAGTTGTAATTTAAAAGGTTAATGTTATTATCCCTAAAAACAAAGTCTTTGCTTTTATGCTAGTTTACTATATCTAATTTAATAATGTTATAATATAATAATAGAAATATGTTCATTGTTAGAGCATTTGGAAAATACAGCTAAGCATAATTAAGAAAATTAAAATCCCTTCTAATTTCACTCTCTGAAGATAACCATTGTTAGTATTATGACATTGCTTTCCAGATGTTCTCCCGTGTAAATTACTTGGAAGTAAATATGTACAAATGTGTATATATGTTGTGTGTCTACATACACTGGAGCATCAACATATGTACATTTAACTAAGGTAAATTCAACTGTATACACTCAGTAAAATTTTTAGCTTTACTGAAACAAAATAGAGGCAGGAATCTACTTCCTCCCCCTCCCTACTCCCGCCCCATGTGTCACTCAGTGAGGATGTGCCCTACGTGCTGGACAGTGGGAATCTGCTTGCCAGTCTTTCATGGTGTTTCAGTTTCTCTGTGCCTCTCTCACTTATGGGCATTTTCATGTGTGAGTCACTTTTGAATTTTTACTATATAAACTCAACATAGGGTTTTAGATGCATTTTCACATCTCTTCTTTAATAAAAATCTTCACATATTTCTTGAACTCTTACTGTTTCAGAACATGGCAACCAAATAGATTTGGATAATTTGGCATTCCCTAAATTCACTATTCAGACTCACTATCTAAATTATTCCTATCCAAAGACAGAAGCCTAATAGATTTGAATGATGAGATATACTTCTTGTTTTTAATGAAACAGAATAAAACTCTTTTCTCTATCATTAACCATTTTTATAACATCATTTAAAAATGGCTGTCTAATATTATTAAAGTATATTTAAAATGTATTACATATTATTAAAATATAGTTAACTGGTTCACTCTTGTTGGATAGTTCAGTCTGTTAGTAACTGTTGCTAAAAAAATTTGGGGAGCAAAAGCTTCATGATCTTCCTTAGAATAACTTTTCTGTTAGTTTTGAAACCAGTTATTGTTTGATGAATTTCTAACCAGGCAGGCAGTCACATGTCCAGGAGGTTTGGCATAATTCAAATGATTATGAAAACTAGTACATTCTGTTGTTTTCCTATTGTGTGATACTTCGTATTCTAGATTACAAATTTATTCCTGGAAAAGTGCACTGTGAGAGTGGCACTTAACTTCCTCTTGGCAGTGCATAGGGCTTGAGAAAGACCTAATGGTTGATGTTAGGTAGGAGTAATACAAACCCTGGTTCTAGCCTTTTTACTTGCTGGGTGAAGCAAGTTATTTAAACTTTTATGTTTCCATTTTCTCATCTGCTCAAGAGGAATAAAATAATACCTGTGTCACAGGGATTTTGTGAAGATTAAATGAAACAAAGTATAAAGATGCCTGACTTTGTTTCTATTTGTATTGTTATTTATATCATTGCTCTTCATAGCCTTCTTAAAGCTTTTTCATTTATTTTCAGAGTTGGGATGTATTTTTGAATTCCCCAACTTACTTCTCTTCAATGTCAAGTTTTAACATGACTAACTCCATTATTTAGTTAGTAGCTTTTAAAAATATTTGTTCACAGTGAGCACTGTAATTTCTTATATTATGAAAACACATACCTACATACATACATACATACACACACACACACACACACACACACACACGTATGTGAAATAACATCTTAATTTTGTGTAAAACTTGGTTTTCTATTCTTTTTTCAAAAGGCTGGTTATAATTCATTAAATTGGTTTTAAACTTAAAATTTGGAAAATAATGATCCAGTGAGTTAGTGATAGAACAAAGTTCAATTTCTGGTATTGGGCTTTATCTCTAGTCTCACTAGAAGATACTTGTTATATTAAGAAAAGGAAGGTTACTTCGAGTCATTTTTAGTCAGTACACAGAGAAAAGTTAATTAAATTTTGGAAAATTAGTAAGAGAGCCTGGACTTGGTAGTTGCATGGAACAAGGCTGAAATTTTGGCCTTGCCATTCTGATTCTGTGACCTTAGAAAAGTTAATTAACTTCTCTGAGCCCCAGTTTCTTCATTTGTAAGCTAAATGTTAGAGAGGCAATAGAGGAGTAGTTAAAGGGTAAATTCTGGGTTTGGTTTGTTTTTTTTGAGACAGGGTCTCGCTCTGTCACACAGGCTGGAGTGTAATGGCACAACCACAGCTCACTGCAGCCTTGATCTGCCCTCTTCTTCCACCTCAGCTTCCCGAGTAGCTGGGACTGTAGGCACATGCTACCATGCCTGGCAAATTTTTGTTTTTGTTTATTTTAGAGAGATGGGGTTTTGCCATGTTGCCCAGGCTGGCCTCCAACTCCTGGGCTCAAGCGATCCTCCAGCCTCCACCTCCCAAAGTGCTGGGATTACAGGTGTGAGCCATAACACCTGGTTTAAAAGTACAAATTCTTTTTTTTTTTTTTTTTTTGAGACGGAGTTTCTCTCTCGTTACCCAGGCTGGAGTGCAATGGCGCGATCTCGGCTCACCGCAACCTCCGCCTCCTGGGCTCAGGCAATTCTCCTGCCTCAGCCTCCTGAGTAGCTGGGATTACAGGGATGCGCCTGCGCCACCATGCCCAGCTAGTTTTTTGTATTTTTAGTAGAGACGGGGTTTCACCATGTTGACCAGGATGGTCTCGATCTCTCGACCTCGTGATCCACCCGCCTCGGCCTCCCAAAGTGCTGGGATTACAGGCTTGAGCCACCGCGCCCGGCCCCAAAAGTACAAATTCTTGAGCCATCCTGCCTGCATTAAAATTTGGACTTTGGGCAAATCCTTAACCTTTCTGTATCTCAATTTCCTTATCAGTGAAGCGGGGAGAATAGTATTTACTTCATAGTGTTGATATGAGGAATAAATGAACATCAGGATATGGACTAGTATCTACAAAGCACTCAATAAAGTTATTATATGTGAAAAGAGAGCATTATAACTGCTATGAAGATTTGTTTTGAGAACATATTAGAGTAATAAATATAAGCCCTACCACAATGGTAAGCATGTAGCATGGTATAATTATTTATAATTTGATTGAAAGAGTAAACCTGTTTATATATTTAGTAGTTTGGTGTTTTTTACGGCTACTTTGTTACTTAACTCTGAAGTGATTAAATTTTAGCAGGACCCTTAACATATCAGTTATGCCAGGGATAGCCTAACATATGGGCCAGCTACTCAACTTGTTGTGAACTCATGTTGAGCTGTTGTGGTATTCACATTCTTTTGCTGCCTTTTCCATTATTTTGTTTTTATCTCATGCTTTCCTTATTTTTCTGTCTTTATTTTCTGTATTCCCTTGTTTATAAACCATGTCAAATTTTTAACCATAAAGAATAGTCATCTCAGATCCCTATTAAAACCAAAAAGCATGAAGGCCAGAAAAGTAATTTTGCCAAGGCTTCAGTTAGTGGCAGAACTGGGACTGGCACCTAATTCTTTGACTTCCATTTAAATGCTTTTCCCTCAATGTCAAGACATATTTTAGAAATAAATGAGTCAGACTTAATATTTGTTTTTTAATGAATTCTGGCTTTCTTATTTTCTTCCTTTAAGACTTAAGAGAACATATATAGGATAGTTTAATCATTGAAAAGATCATCCATACTCATAAATTTGATTTGAGCATCAGACATTTAGGTTTGTTTCAGACATCTCTGTGAGACTAAGTTTAAAAATTATTTTAATTCATAAAAATTACCTGTTTGGGCAACATGGCAAAACCCTGTCTCTCTAAAAAAATTTGTAACTTTTGTTGAGATGATAAACATGGTAAACATTGAATGAATTATCAAGCATTATGAAAAACTAGTATATTCATTTTGTAGGTCATTTAATTTTTATTTACTTTTTAATGATTATAAATAATTCTTTAGCCAACTGCCCCAAGTTCTTTATGGTCTTTGGCTGATTCTAATTTTTAACATTTGCTTAAACATATTATTATAATCAGTTGTAAATTATAAAAATTACCTAGTTTGTGAATAGTCCTAGTGCTTTCTTTCTTTCATTTATTTAACCATCTTGCCTTTGACCATTTCATTCTTCAGCCCTTAATGAAGGAATAGGGTAGGATATAGAGCTGTTGGTGAAACTCAAAACTGTCAGTTTTTCTGATTATTACCTTCAGTGGTAAAAAATTATTTGAAAGTAGGCAAAACCTGTTGAAATTAAAATGCATTTTTATGATCTTCTTTGAATTTTGGTTTTTCGTAATCAAGTATTTTATTCCATGGGAAAATATTAATAGCTATCTCTAATTCTGTTGAAATTCAGTGGTATACCAGATGACCATGTAGGGGCCTTTTGAGAGAAGACTCCAGCTGTGTCCAGAAAGAGACTTGCCTTTGTGGTAAACATGGAGTAATTTAGGGTGGGAAGTTCTAAGGGCCAGCTTTCAAAGGGAGGGTTGTGTCTCAAAATGTGATATATGTTCTGGTTTGGCAAATTACTTGAACAGACATCCTGAGATTAGAACACTGTTTGGGTTAATGGTAGCATTTTCTAGGTACATTTTGACCTTTTTTCTTTAACCCCTTCAATCAACATTAACTAAGATTTGTTAACCATCAAATAGGAGTACAGGGTTTGTTTTTTATTTTTTAGTTAAGTGAAGAATCTTGAAAAGGTACATAAAAGTACATAAATATGTAGTCAATCATATATTTAGTTATATATTTAAATAATTTTCTTGAAAATACAATTTAGGACTATTTTGGAAAAATTTTAATATATAGTTGTCAGGTCTCCATCTAGCCAATTAATGACTTTTATATTTATATATACACATATAAACATACATATACACACATGTATTTGTGTATGTATATGTATATATGTATAATTTCCCCCCTTTTGTTTTCTGACACAAGTCCAGACCCTCTTTTCATTTTTCTTTCCTTTTTTTTGACGGAGTTTTGCTTTGTTGCCCAGGCTGGAGTACAGTGCCATGATTTCAGTTCACTGAAACCTCCGTGTCTCAGATTCAAGCGATTCTCCTTCCTCAGCCTTCCTAGTAGCTGAGATTACAGGCGCCTGCCACCACACCTGGCTGATTTTTTAAATTTTCAGTAGAGTTGGGGTTTTGCCATGTTGGCCAGGCTGGTCTCGAATCCCTGACCTCAAATGATCCACCAGCCTTGGCCTCACAAAGTGCTGGGATTATAGGGATGAGCCATCATGCCTGGCCCAGAGGCCCAGACCTTCTTTGTCTTTTAACTCATATACTGTGGCAAACTCTTAATCAGTCTTCCTCAGAATAGCTCTTACCGCTTCAATTGCAATCTTCAGCCTTTGTCATTAAGAGCTCTGAATTTGCCCTTTTGCCAGGTATTCTTGTTTCATAGAGTTTACTTCACTTTGCTTGTCCTAAAAGTAAAGCTAGTACCACACTCAAATTTTCCACCCCCTCCCATCTCCCAATCTCTCTCTTCTTTTGAAGTCATTTTTTCACTTTTCCTATGGTGCTTATTTCTGACTAGCCTGGTATAGTAGGTTAAGGGGAAGGAAAGATGTTTCTCCTCATCTTCCCTTCCCTTCTCTGAACTTTTTTGATATGTAATAACTCACAATGTAGCATTTATTTCTTTGGTGTATAGAGAATCACATTAGATCAGACTTCTGAGATTTCATCTTTATATCATTTCTTGCTAGGTCCAAAGTAGGTGTATCATAAAAGTGTATTGAGTAAGTAATCAAAGAAAAATAGCTGCTGGAGTCGTGAAAAATCCTTAAAACAAAGGTGGATATTTGCTTTGGGGGTATAGTGTTTAAAAGTTAGAAGACTTCCTGAGTGAGGGCAGCTATTTTCTATGCAGCAGAATTTTAGAATGAGAGGTTATAGAAGACAGATTTCCTGTGACCAGTTGTTTAAAATGCAAAAGAGATGTTCTTAGTGTTAAGTTTTATCTTCATTTAAGATACTGGAATTGGTCTGAGGGTTGGAAAGTTGTTTTTCCCACTACCACCCATGCCCACCAGGTAGGTAAGTCTTTGGAAAAGAAAGGGCTAGGGAGGAGAGTGGAGACCAACAGAAGAGACGTCAAAGTATCTGACTATTAATATCTAAAGACAGAGAAGAAAAATAACCAGCAATTATGGTTGTGGAGTCCTAGTGAAGTCTAGTTTGAACAGCATTCTCAATGAATGCAGTAATTTAACTGATGAGTGACAGAGTGGTAGCATTCAAGTTGTAGTTTTATTTGGCCATACCTTTCACATTCTTTTTCCTGAGGAAATGCCCAAACATGTAGATTCGAGTGACAACAAGGCAGTTAAATAATTTGGAATATGAATGTGGTTTTTGTTTTACATTTCGGCACCTATAAAATCAGTGAAGAAAACTCTGGGTTCTTTTTTTCCCCAAAGAAAGACTGAATGACTTCTTTGCATTTCTTTTCTGTAACTTTGAATTAAATTTTTAATATAGGGATTATTTAATTCCTATGCTTTATCTTCATCAGGAATCCAGAAGCTTCTTATAACTGTAACCAAAAAAAAGTTGCAATTCTCTTGAGCTTCTGCCAGTAGCTTAGAGTGATGCCAAAATTTATGTGTGGGAAAGTTGATTTCAATGAGGGTAATTTAGCTGAAGTTTAGTCTAGGAAACTAGTGTTTTGCTGCCAAGAAATTATTTGCACATTTCTAAAAAATGACGTACTTTTACCAATGCTCTTTTTCATCATAGACTGGTTACTTAAGCAAGTTATTGTCGCTAGTGACATATGCTCTATAAAGGAAACTATATTCTTGTTTAATTTGGTTAATAACCTCAGACTTTATATGTGATTTGGGTACTTCTATTAAATGTTGCCTTTTGTCTAAATAAAATCCACAGGAATTAAATCAACAACTAGAAAAAAGAAAAGAAATAGAAGAACGTGAAAAAAGAAAGATAATTGCTGAAGAAAAGCACAAGGAATGGGTTCAGAAAAAGAATGAGCAGGTAAGGAGGGAAAAATGCACACACACGTTGACATCTCTTTTGCAAAATCTTTCTTCCCATTACCCTTTATTACCTAGATTTTAAAAAATATTTCTCTTAGAGTCTTTCTTCTCTGGCTTGTTTTATTTTTCTATCCTGGTGGACATTTATCAAGTCTCTGTTTTCTGCCCTTTGCCCTCTACTTTTCTCCTTTTTCCCTCCTGTGGCCTCCACTAGTATTTGCCTGCAGGCAGTCACCAAGTCTGTATCTCTAGGCCTGACCTGGATCCTTGCGGCAAGTACCTCTAAGTCTGCAAATCTAAAACAACCCATTTTGCCCGTTCATCCTTCATAAAACCATTCTCCCATTTCTTTGTTTAGTTAGCTGTCTTCTTGGTCACCAGGATTTAATTAGAATTCTTCTGTTGTTCCTAATCATCTCCTCCCTTTCTTTACGATTACTACTCCCCTGTTTGTGATCTCTTTCCATTGTATCTTTCAACTTATTGTCTGCTTCTTACCCGGGATTATAAGCTCCATAAGGGCAGGGATTTTTGCCTCTTTTGTTCAGTTCTCTAGGAGCTAGTTGAGTACCTAGCACGTAATATATGTCCAAAAATAGTTGAATTGAGTGAAGATGTTCATTGAATGAACTTTTTCCTTTTCATTTTAATATATTCTTGAATGGATCACACACATTAGAAATTTTAAAAATACTGATTCTGTGGTCAATTTGTCTTCTGTTGTGATTTTTACATACTTAGAATGGTACTGCTTTTATTATTATAATCTAGTTTTATAAAGTTGGACAAATATTTAAATTGTAGGACAGTATTTTAAATTTTAATTCTAACTTTTTGTCTTCATTGTTGAATCTAATGCCCAGTGGCATTACTAAGAGTACTAATAAATAATTTCAGTAAATTGAAGATGACATAGCCTTCTTCATCAAGTATTATAAGAAGAAAATTGGTTAGATGTTTGTGTGTGTTATAACCATATTTGTTTAGAAGTCGATTGTTTTTTAAAGAAGTTTGCTTCATCCCATGATATAACATGAAAGAGATCTTTGTGAATAAATTCAAAAATCAAAATAAGTCTCTCTGACTGTTACGAAACTTTGGGTATTTTTGAAATTTGTAACTATAAAACAAAATTATTTTACACATGCAGAATAGTTTGCTCTTTTCTTTAAAAACCCCTCTTATCTTCTAACTCCAAAGCTAATTTTACCATGCCAATCAAACCTAGTTGTTATTTGTCTAAGAATGTAAGATACTGCTGGGAGATGATATATTCACTGTTTTATTTAGTGGCAGTAGACCTAATCTAATTACTTGAAGAAAAAAAAATTCTTTATTGGGAGGGAAGTGGCATGCCCTCTCATAAATCACTAGTTATTAAAGACAAAATTCCATGTTGAAATTATTTAAAAATGAGAATTATTTAAAAATAAAACTGAGAAGCTATATTTACCTGTTCTGTAGAACTCTTGTTCATGTTAAAGAATAATTGATTATTCTGAATTTTTTTTTCTTTAAGACCTATCAGATTTCTTCTTTCAGACATAGTTACATTTACCTCTATTTGTAAAGACTGCTGTCCTGGTTCTTCTCTTCCTGTCTGGCTTCTAGCTTTTTTCTCCTCTGTTTATATTTCATGGTGTGTGGTCCTCAGCTGCCTCCAGCTTCATTCACATTTTAGTTGTATCTGTGGCTGCTATTTTCTCTTAAGTCATTTTCACTGTGTTCTATAAAAAAATCAGACAAAAAGAATTTATGCATTCATTTAGCAAAGCTAGTTTCTTATAATATGATTGTAAATTCTTAAGTGCTTTTAAAACAAATGTTCTATCTCATCTGGTACTCCTTACAGTTGTGTTGCCATGGTAATTTATTTTCTGGATATGTTTATTACAGTGTTACATATTTTTTTAAAAGGGCCTTTACTTTTAGTGTTTTTTAGAAACTATTTAAAAATAAAATCGTTTTTAATTCTCCAAACACAACTGAGTTTGTAATGGAAGACATTAATTCAGATCAACAAGGTTGATTGATTGATAACACTGTTATCATTGCATTATTCATGCTTTCAACAAATATTTACTCAACTTTTACTATGTGCGAGACACTATTGGAGAAAGCAAAACAGAAATTCAGAAACTTTAAGTAGCCATTTGTTATGTTAGTTTCCTTTAGTTGTATGAAACAAAGGTTCTCTCAGTGCAGCATCTTTAAAAAAAGTAAGATTTATTATTGTGCTCTGTGTGGTGTAGAACTAGTGTGCCAGAAAATCTGAAGCCACTTAATGGCTGGTTCCTCTCTCAGTAGTAGTGACTACTCTGAGTGCCTGCTGTGTCCTGCTTTTGCTAACTAAAGGGGTTTTGGTCTACTTTAGTTTAAATCCTACAGAAGTCTTTCTGATTTTTTCAGAATTGTTTTTATTGAGCTATAATTTGCAAACAATAAAATGCACCTTTGTTAAATTTGATGACTTCGGCAAATTTAGGTACCCATGTAACCAGCACCAGTAAAGATATAGAATATTTCCTTCACCCCAGACAGTTCCCTTGTGCCCCTTTGCATTCATCCCAACTTCCTGCTCCCAGCCAGCCTCAGCTCCAAGGAAACCATTAATCTGCTTTCTGTACCTGTAGATTAGGGTTGCCTTTTCTATAATTTCATATAAATAGAACGATAGAATATGTACTCTGTTGTGTTGGTCTTTTGTTTTAAAACTTATCCTGATATTTCATGTATTATTCCTTTAAATTGTTTATCTGTTCGCTAGTTGATGGACAATTGAGTTGTTTTCAGTTTGGGATATTATGAATAAAATTCTGTGACCACACACTTACAAGTCTTTGTAGACACTTGCTTTCATTTCTCTTGGGTGAATGCCTAGGAACTAAATTACTGGACTATATGGTAAGTATGTGTTTAACTTTATAAGAAATTGCCGAACATTTTTCTAAAGTCCTTGTACCATTTTACATCTTCACCACTGTTGTAAGAAAGTTCCAACTGCTCCACGTCTTTGGCAAATTTGGTATGGCCAGCCCTTTTCATTTCAAGTCCTTCTAGTGAGTGTGGAGTGGTATGCTATTGTTTTAATTTTCATTCCTGAGATCTAATGATGTTTAGCATCCTTTCATACGCTTATTATATTAGTCTTCTAGAGCTTCCATAACAAAATACTACAAACAGGGTGGTTTAAACAACAGAAATATATCTTTAGTCACAGTTCTAGAGACTGGAAATCAAGATAAAGGTGTCTGCAGGTTTGGCTTCTCCTGAGGCCTCTCTCCACGGCTGTCTTTTTATGTCCTCAGAGGGTTTTTCTCTAAGAACACACATCCCTGGTGTCTCTTCCTCTTCTTGTAAGGAAACTCGTCCTCTTAGATTAGGGTCCTACCTGTATGACCTCATTTAAACTCATTAAAGATCCTATCTCCAAATACGGTCACATTGTGGATTCTGGATTCAACACAGGAATTTGGGAGGGGGCAGAGACACAATAAAGTCCATAACACCTATTGACCATTTCTACATCTCTTTTGTTGTTAGCTTGTTTTGTGTTGTGTTGTCATTTCCCCCCCTTTTTTTTGAAGGGGTAGTAGGGTTTATTATTAAGATACGAGAATTCTTTATATATTCAGACTGTAAGTCCCTTCTCAGATACATTTATTGCAAATCTTTCTTCCCATTTAATTTTTCTTCCTTCCCTCCCTGCCTCCCTGACTCCCTTTCTCCCTGCCCCCCTTCCTCCCTTCCTCCCTTCCTCTCTTTCTCCCTTCCTCCATTCCTCCCTCCCTCCCTCCCTTCTTCTCTTTCTCTCTTTCTCTCTTCCTCCCTTCCTTCCTTCCTCTCTCTCACTTCCCTCCCTCCCTTCCTTCCTTCTTTATTTTCTTTTTTCCTTTTTGAGTCAGAGTCTCACTGTGTTGCCCAGGCTGGAGTGCAGTGGCTCAATCTTGGCTAACTACAATCTCTGCCTCCCAGGTTCATCCGATTCTTATGCCTCACCCTCCTGAGTAGCTGCGATTATAGGAGTGCATAATTTTTGTATTTTTAGTAGAGATAGGTTTTTGCCATGTTGGACAAGCTGGTCATGAACCCCCCATTTAATTTTTCTTAATGGTATTTTTTTTCCATTAACAAGAAGAAGCACTAACAAATGATACTTTTTAAAGAGCAGTTTTAAATTTTGATGAATATTCATATTTCAGTTTTTTAATTGGTGGTGGTTTTTGTGTTCTATTTAAGAAATGTTTGTGCACTCCAAGAGGATAAAATTACTCGCCACTGTTTGCTTCCAGAGGTTTTATAGCTTTAGCTTTACCTGTATGTCTAATTCAGTTTAATTTTAACATATGGTATGCATTAAAGGTCAAGGTTCATTTGTTTGCATGTGGTATCCAATTGTCCTAACAATGTTGACAAGATAATCTTTTCTCTATTAAACTACCTTGGCACCTTTGTTTAAAATCATTTGACCATATATTTATAGGTCTGTTTCTGGATTCTATTCTATTCTATTGATTTATATCCTGTGCCAGTATCACACTAACTTGTTACTATAGTTTTATAGTTCTGAATTTATTATTTGTGAAATCTGATAGTATAAATTCTCCAGGTCTTTAATTCTTTTTCAAACTTGTTTTAGTTGCCCTGTGTCTTGCTACATACAGTGTAGAATTGGCTTATCAATTTCCCTAATAATGCCTGTTCTAGTAAGTGCTTGGCACTATTGAGATTCCGCTAAATATCAATACATAGATTATTTTGGAGAAAATTGCTATCTTAATAATATCAAATTTTAAATCTATAAACATGGTTTTTCTTTCCAGTTATCTGTGTCTTCTTTAATTTCTCTCAGCAGTGTTTTTTTAGTTTTCGACGTATAGCAGTATTATCTTTTGTTAAACATATTTCTCAGTATTTCATGTTTTTGCTGATGAGGGCAGTTATCTTGCCTGTTCCTGATATATATTATATATATTATACACACACACACAAATATATGTATATATATATTTTTTCCCCAGACACATTCATGTGAAACATTTTTGATATTTACCTTGTAATTTTCTTGCCTGGTTTTGATATCAGAATAATGCAGGACTCTTAAAATGAGCTTTGATTGCTCCCTTTTCCTCTATATTCTAAAATCGTTTTTGTAGAGTTTGGTACTATTAAGATATACCACAATAATATATTATTAAAATATGGAATATATTAAACTGTGTAATATAATCTACTAGTGAAGCTTTCAAAGCCTAGAGATTTTTTGTAGGAAAGTTTTAAATTTTTAATTGTTTTTATAAATAGAGGGTTATTCAGACACTATTCTTTCTCAAATTAGTTTTGGGGAGTGACATATTTTAAGGAGTTTTGGCATTTCATTTAAAATGTTGAATTTATTGGCATAAAATTGTTTTTAAGATTCTCCTACTTTGATTTCTGCATGATATCTGTAGTGACCCATCACTTACCATCTCTATGACCTTAGACAAATTTACCCTCCATGTGCCTTAGTTTCCTTCTTTGTATAATGGAATAGTAGTATCTCCCTCATATCATGATTATAAGAATTAATTGAGAGCGTGTAGAAATAAATTACAGAGAATAGTAACAGGCATAGTTAGCACTCAATAAATGTCAGCTGCTATAATTAAAAACAATGTAAGAACTGGTTGATTCGTTGTAGGTAAAGTTGTGGAGGACAGTCATGAGTCACGTAGAGATTAAGCAAGATATGCACCAAGATTCTTTTCAATCTGTAGATCTTCTGACAGTTTGAAGTAGTTAAAATGCAGTATTATTCCAATGGCTATTGAGTTCTCGGCATGAAAACATTCTGCTTTATAGCTATTGGCTGTCCAGCAAGAAGGAAATACAGCAACTTTGATACAACTTGGGGCATTACTTGAGCTTTGATTTTTAAGACCAGTCTTTCCTGCACAACCCTGGACATACCTTGTCTATAAGTGATGTTTGTTAGTTGAGTCTTAATTGAATTCCTTATAATAATGTATTCTGCAAACTGCTTTCAAAGAATTTCTTTTCTTGGGTCATAATTATTTGCCTGGGTGATATGTATGGCATTTGTATTGCATATACTTTTTATGCCTTGCAGATTTGTTTCCTAACCTTTGATAAAGAAGAATAGCTATGTCATTGGTTATTTAGAATTTAGCTGTATTGGTAGATTATCTTTTAAATAAGAAGCAAAAAATATTGAGGTGTAGTCTATGTCAAGGATCAATATTTTTTTTCTGTAAAGCACCAGTTAATGAATATTTCAAACCTTTGGGGTCATGTATTCTTTGTTGCAGCCATTCAGCTTTGCTATCGTAGTGCAAAAGCAGCTATAAACAATAAATATGTAAATGAATGAGTGTGGCCACATTTCTATAAAACTTCATTTACAAATATAGGTGGCTGGTGGACCAGGTGTGACTGGAAGTCCTTAGTTTGCCACTCTTTGGTCTATAGAAGAATTATTTAGCCAGAGATTTTCCTGGATGTGCCCTTATATACAGTGTTTAATGAGCATTATTCATTTCTCCTCTTTTAACTCACCAATGGCAAAGATTTATGCAAGTATTAATATTGGCAAACTATCCAGGAAATATGTGTATGTATATATATATGTGTGTGTGTGTGTATGTGTGTATATATATATATATAATGTGTGTGTTTGTATGTATGTGTGTATATATATAGCCCCTGTTTTAGAGTAAGAGTAAACATCAATTTAAAAATACTAACAGATTATAATTTTTATTCAGTATCATTTATTCAACAAATTTTGATTTAGCACAGTATTAGTCTGTTTTCACACTGCTGATAAGGACATACCTGAGACTGGGAAATTTACAAAAGAAGAGGTTTAATTGGACTTACAGTTCCGTGTGGCTGGGGAAGCCTCATAATCATGGCGGAAGGCAAGGAGTAGCAAGTCACATCTTGCATGGATGGCAGCAGGCAAAGAGAGAGAGCTTGTGCAAGGGAACTCCTTTTTAAAACCATCAGATCTGTGAGACACTCACTATCATGAGAACAGCATGGGAAAGACTTGCCCCTATGATTCAGTTACCTCCCACCAGGTGCCTCAAAGATGATATTTGGGTGGAGACACAGCCAAACTATATTAAACACCTGCTGTTCACTCAGTACTGCCCCAGGCTCTGAGTGGACATTGGTGAGGAAGATCTTGGTCACTGACCTCATGAAACTTACAGCCCAGCAGGTAGACTGACACTTAACTGTTAATTGCAGGTATGTTATATATTCTCATAAGCCATGTTGTGCCAACTGCTATGATACCATGTCTATTTAAAAAAATAATTGAAGTTTAGAAAATTGCTATATGCAACAGTCTTTCCTTGGATAAGGATAATTACAGGTATTACAATTAAACTTTATTTTTATTTAAGAAAAGAAAAGAAAGAGAACAAAAAATTAATAAAGAAATGGAAGAAAAAGCAGCAAAGGAACTGGAGAAAGAATACTTGCAAGAAAAAGCAAAAGAAAAATATCAAGAATGGTTAAAGAAGAAAAATGCTGAAGAATATGAGAAGAAGAAGAAAGAAAAGGTATTTTTATTAAAGTGACCAGTTAGAATACATAACTTTGGTGTTCATATGTGTCAACTACATCTTAAAACAAGTATTTAATAGAAAATTGGCACTGTCTTAGCATAAAATAAATACATGAAGCTATCCCAGTTTATCTTGTTATGCTGTGTGTAAGCTTCAAAAATGAATATGCATTTGTGGTTTTCTTAAGTTGAGAAATATTAATAAGCCTGTTGATATTTTTTCAGTCAGGTTTAAAACTTGTTATTCCTTTTAAATATTTTTTAATTCACTTTATGGGAAGTCTTACTACCATTTTATAAATTACTTTTCTTTGACAACAGCAAATGCTTTTCTTTGTGAGTTTGATTTCTTATTGTTTTTCAGAGCTGGACACCTTAATGTGTGTCCCTGATCATGTTCAATATTGTACTTATATTATAAAAATATGATTCAGTATTATGGCCAATAAGCCATTGGTGTAGGAAGCTATTGGAGAAAAGAAAACCAGTAGAATTTGAATGCAATGTATAGTTACAGAATATCCCTGTAAATATTTTGGTCTTGTCATTTTAAGGAAAAAGAGAAACAACAGCAAGCTGAATTGCAGGAGAAAAAGGAAATAGCAGAAAAAAAGTTTAAGGAATGGTTGGAAAATGCGAAACATAAACCTCGCCCAGCTGCAAAGAGCTATGGTTATGCCAATGGAAAACTTACAGGTTGGTTTTTATGTTATGTGGCTTACGTAAATATGGTTTGCAGAAGCAAATATTATACTCTTTTTAACATAAATAGAAATGTGTAAAAATTATTTTTCTTTCAAATTACTATTTTCTGGAAGATTATACTATAAACATACCAAGTTCCTATGGAGATGCTGCAAATGTACTGTCATTCTCCACAAGTCAGACAATTGTATTTCTTAGAAGCAGTAGTTACAAAACTGCAAACTTATGCTTTAATGATTTCTAACATTAAGAAATAAATAATGTTCTCTTAACATTTCTTCAGTGATTTAGGATATATTTTAAGGGGTCATTTTGGGTCCTCTCCTTCTAACCCTCCCTAAGGCAGAGCTTCCCATGTCCTTGGCACATTCTTTGTGTGAGGTAGAATACTAGACAGCACATGAACCAGACACAAAACCGATTGGCCTTTAGGCTTGGTCTGATTATAAAGGGCAATGCATGTTTTTCTTTGTCCTTCATGTTGGAAGCTCGTACCTTGCTGACAGCTGCCTTCACTTGTTTAAGTGATTTATTATTAAAATACCCCCATTCTGTTTGGTTCACACAATAGAACATATTCCAGACTTTGTTTTGACCATCTTGGTGAAGTGAGTGTTGACATATCTATGCAAAGTGGGTTGCTAGTGTCTGAAAGACACATTCCTGCTGTCAGGATTAGGCCTCTCTCATATGTCACGAAGGGTCATCTGTTTTAGCTACTGAGCATGGCCTGTTCCTTCTTTTTGTTTCTTGCTTGAAAAAAGAGTAATAAGCAGTGGCTTTAACCCAGTAATTGGGTAGTAAACTTAAAAGTTTAGGTGGGAATACTAAACATACTGACTAGAAGTTAATTGCTAAAATAATGGATTTTTTTTGCATTTTTAATGAGTTTAATTCTAACAAGCAACATATTTGTCTACAAATGCTGTACTTAAGTCTCTGTATTCTTTATGCTGACATCATTTTTATAAATTATGAAATAAAGAAATTTTGGTGCCAGTAGTGACTGAAGGATTTGGAGATGATTTGTAAAATGTTCTTCCTTCAAGTGTGCTTATTAGATGTCAGACATCACAGTTCTTTAAACACTTTATATGCATCAGCAAAAGAATGCTCCATAACTCATAATCACAATTATAGTGATATTGTGAAATCTTATTGACAGTGGTTCAGAATTTCTGTGATTCTAAATAAGAATCTTGATTTACTATAACTTCATATGAAAAATAAATGTTTTTCTGTAAACTTTAGCATCTGCCAAGAGAAAGGTAGTATACAATCAGTAGTTTCCTAGACTGAGTTAAAAAAATGAAAGTTTTGTTCAAACAATTTAAGGATAGTAAAATTAACTTAGTAAAATTTTTATAGGAGTTTGTATTTACATAGGTTTTAACACTAATATTATTTGGATTCTTAGAATTATCATTTATGTTTTAATTTTAACTGGAACATTTACTGTATTTGGAAAGTGTTACTTTGAAAATGTTAAGGAGTTTAAGTTTTAAATAAGTCAAATTGGCTTATTAGTGATAATTTGTCCATTTGACATTTTAACATTTTTCCAGAAGTTTGAAGTGGCTTCTTTGATCTCAAAGTTTTTTCTTGTTTTGATCTGATTTTTCAATAATTTTAGGTTTTTACAGTGGAAATTCCTATCCAGAACCAGCCTTTTATAATCCAATTCCATGGAAACCAATTCATATACCACCTCCCAAAGAAGCTAAGGATCTATCGGGAAGGAAGAGTAAAAGACCTGTGATAAGTCAGCCACACAAATCATCATCTCTGGTAATTCATAAAGCCAGAAGCAATCTTTGCCTTGGAACTCTGTGCAGAATACAAAGATAGCATACGTGGAAAATAACATGCTTTTATCTGGAGCAATTTAATTTTAAAATCAGAAATTGTTTTTTACTGCTCAGTCAGTAATTTAACATTTAATGTGATTATTGACAAATAGCAATTTTTGCATTTGTATATGGAGTCCTTAAAGTTGAGGAAGATATTTTCTAGATTTTGGTTTTCATAAACTTTTCAAGGTCGATCTTGGCATGTTGTTTTGCAGAATAAGTGGCTGAATATGTAATAATTGTGTTTGTATTTAGCTTGTATTAAAAAGACACTGTAATACCAATAAAACTAACAATTTTTCCTGTATTGTTTTATACTCTGTTATTAGTTTACATTTATGAACATAAGATTAATTTATTCAAACAAGCACTTCTAAACTGCATGCTTGAGTAACCCTTAGAAGAATTTAAAGCAAAAAAGGAAATTGCAAAAAAAAAAGTTTAAGGGATGATGGGTTAGAATTTAAGTGGGTTAGCACCAAAGAAATCAAAAACAGTCTTTGCTGATGGCATATTTTCCCCTATATAGATATTTTAATTCTATTTATATTTATAGAATTTTATTTATATTAAACATATTATATTTATTTAATTAATTATTTTATCTCCCTCTGGCTCTGTTGCCCAGGCTGGAGTGTAGTGGCGTGATCATAGCTTACTGTAACTCATGGGCTCAAGTGATCCTCCCACCTCAGCCTTCTGGGTTGCTGAGATTACAGGAGCATGTCACCATGTACAGGTAATTTTTTTTTTTTTTTTTTTTTTTGGCAGACATAGGGTCTTCCTTTGTTGCCCAGCATGGGATATTTTTAAATTAACTAACTAAGGCATGTTTTTTTTTTTTTAACAAATAAATCAGAGTTGTGATTTCCAAAAGAAAATTTTAAAACATTGTTTTATACTCTGACTGGGTGCAGTGGCTTATGTCTGTACTCTCAACTCTTAGGGAGGCAGAATTGGGAGGATAGCTTGAGCCCAGGAGTTCAAGACCTGCCTGGGCCATATAGCAAGACTCCATTTTCCACAAAAAGGAAAAAAAAAAAATACAAAACCATTATTTTGTACTCTGATCTTAGATTGATGTGTAGTAATCTTGAGATACTGATAATATTTTTCCATCCTGTAAAAATACTTAAACATTAATTATAATTAGGTTGCTAGTTTTAAAATTAGGATTATCAGTACATTATTTTTTAATGTTAAAAATTTTAAATGACATTTGTAGAAATCACAGATCTTATTAATAAATATATTTTAAGTATAGGGGTTCAAATGATTGCCAAAATAATGCCCAACACTTTTTTTTTAAATGTCTTTTATCTTTTTTAGAAGATGATCAAGAAATGAAAATTTATTGTGGCAGTATAAGAATCAGTAAGTTCATTTAAAAGTGATTTCTATTTAGAATATATTCCATGTTTCTGCCAGATGAGTCATCTGCCAAGTTTCTGGTGATCTGCAGTGGTGTTGGTCAATTCAAGGAAACAGCAATATACTCTTTGAAGAGCATTCAGTGTCACCAGAAGTCTAGGAAAATTCACTTCTAAGCAGAGAACAGTTTATTAGGAATCAGTAGGGTTCATTGGGTCCAAATGTTGCTGAGATGTAGAGATATGAGCATACTTCTCAGAACCTGTCAGATACAGTGAAACTTGCAGATGATCATTCTACTTGAGCAAATTCACCTATATAGAGAGAACATAGAGTTTGCCTGGGTAGCAGTAATCTTGTTTATAAAAAACATATAAGGTATATATATTCCTGAATTTGTGAGATAAAACAAATTCATATAAAACATATAAGGTATATATATTCCTGAATTTTAGATATAGTTGTTACATCTTAAAAAGCTAAGTATTTATCAGGAAGGAAGATCTAGTTTCAGCCAGAACTGTAATCCTAGTAAGTCTTTACAGTCATTCAGTCATTCATCATTATATGTATCCTGAGTTCACTAGTTTGAACTTTATTCTAATCATAATAGGAAACGTCTGGAAGATTTTAAATAGGTAATTGATAAGATCTGGTTTATCCTTTGAGATTACTATGGCTGCTCTGAGGAAATTGGCCTGTTGGGGGCAAAGGATGGCAGCAATGAGACCCATTGGGAGGACTTTGCAGTATCCGGCAGAGAAGTCATGATACTTTGGATTAAAATGGCAGCAGTGACACAGTAAGAAGTGAAGATAAACTTGGGATATATTTTGAAGATGGAGCAAACAGGACCACTAATATTTGGATGTCAGATTGAGAAAAGGAGGAAAAATCAGATATGACTAGTTTTTTGGCCTGATAACCAGGTGAATGATGATAATTATACCAGAAATATGAAGACTGAAAAAAGCAGGTATATATTGGCCTGAGATGAGGAGAGGGAAGTGTTTAAGAATTCTGTCCTAGATTTGTTAGATTTGTGATACCAACTTCATAACCTGGTTAAGATGGTTAAATATATGATGTTCTGGGGAAAGCCAGGATAGTAGATACAGATTTGAGGAACATTAGCACATAGATAGTATTTAAAAGCATGGGACTTGAACAGGTTACCTCAGAAGAGTTTAGATGGTAAAAAAGGAGGACTGAATATTCCAGTATTTAGAGATTAAGCAGCCAGCAAGGATCCTGAAAACATGTAGCCAATGAAGTAGAAGGAAACCAAATAGAGTAGGATGTCACAGAAGCCACGAGTAGAAGTGAGGTGTGGGCTCTGTCCAGTGCTGCTTGAGAGAGAGGAGCCTTCATTACTGGATTTCATAAGATGAAAGAGGGTCATTGTTGACCACAATGGCAAGCATGTCTTAACAATTTCTATATGCCTGGTATTGTTGTGCTTCTATATGTGCTATTTTAATCCTCACAATAGCCCTATGAGATAATTACTTTTATTATCCTCATTTTATATTTGGGGGAACTGAGGCAAAAAGAAGTTATGTTGCTTTTATACCTAGTAAATCACAGAACATGGATTAGAACCCATGAGGTCAAAGCCCAAACTTAATAACTATATCAAGGTAAAAACAGGTATGAGTCTTCAATCAAATAGGCTGGAGAGAGAATGGAAAGTGAGAAAGAGCCCGTAACTAAAGACATTCTGGAAACGTTGTATAGTGAAGAAGAGAAAGGTGGGATAGGGCCTGGACATGGGGACTCATGCTTGCAATCCCAGCACTTTGGGAGGTCGAGATGAGAGGATCACCTGAGGTCAGGAGTTTGAGACCAGCCTGACCAACATGGCAAAATCCCATCTCTACTAAAAATACAAAAATTAGCTGACATGGTATCAGGGGCCTGTAATCCCAGCTACTTGGGAGGTTGAGGCAGGAGAATTGCTTGACCCTGGGAGGTGGAGGTTGCAGTAAGCCATGATCACACCATTGTACTCCAGCCTGGGTGACAGAACAAGACTCTATCTCAAAAAAAGAAAAAAAAAGTGGGATAGGAGCTAGAACTGGAAGAGAACATAGGGTCAAAGATATTTTGTTTGTTTTGCTTAAGCTGGGTAGTATTAAATACGCTTCTCTGAGGTTGGTGATGATCCAGTTGAAAGGGGGGACCTGAAGATTTAGGAGAGATCAGGGGTGATTTTAGGAATGCAGTTCTTATATAGCAAAAATGTTGATTTATATAGAAGCAAGAAATTTCTTCTATTTTCAGGGGGAGAACAAATTATATGTATAGGTTCAGATGTGGCTGGATTGATAGTATTGGTGGCAGGAAGACAACATAGGCAATTCTTGTTAAATTACTTCTTGTTTCTCAGTGAGGTGTGAAGGGAAGGCAAGGTCATCAGCAGAGGGATAGAATAGGATGTTCCAAGTTTGAGGAAAAGGAAAAGGTAATAGAAAAACAAGCATTTTGGAGAAAGAAAAATTTGCCAGAGAAATTAGTGAGATTGATGGGCAGTATTGTTTGCCATTTGATATTTTTGGCCATAAAGGCCAATTAGTGGAGTTCTGTCATGTTGTTCTTTATTTCTGGAGAAAAATTTAGCTGCTTAGATGTAGACCCAGATTCAGGTATAATTGGGGTTGGGCAAGTAGGCAGTAGGATGAAGGGAAAAAGGAACGAAGCGATTAAAGTGTTTTCAAGGGAGTGATTATAGTACTGAAACATACTAGTTAACACAGATGCCGAGGAATAGGTCTTCCGTAGATTTCCTATGATATTTTGAGGTTGAGTTGGGGGTGCTTGAGGGAAGCTAGAGAGATAGGGGTTTGTGGTCAGGATGTTGATGACAAGAACCAGAGTATGACTATGGAAGTGAGTGGCCCAGATAGAACATAGCAGTGAAGTTGATGCAATTAAGAATGTTAGAGGCCAGAGCTAGTGCAGTGGCCCACGCTTACAGTCCCAGCTACTTAGGCGGCTGAGGCAGGAGAATCACTTGAGGCCAAGGGCTGGAGGTTGCTATGCACTTTAATGCACCTATGAATAGCCGCTGCACTCCACCCTGGCAACACAGTGAGACCCTGCTCTAAAAAAGTAAGATCTACAGAAGTAACTTTTTAACGTGAATATTGAAAGTGCCAAGGATGTGATAGAAGTTGTGGTAGAGAGGAAGATAGCAAGCTGGGTGCTAGAATTTCAGTGAACCATGGTAACTGGCTAGCTGGATGACAGTCAAAAGGAACATTATTGACTAATATGGTCAGATGGAATAATCTTCAGCAGAGTGGGAAGTTTTGAAGGAGGAAGGAGATGAAGTGGTTTGGAGGTACCAACAGGGAACAGGGTGGGTAAGGAAAACACTTTCCTACCTACAACTCCCAAGTTCCTGGAGGTTGGAGGCTAGAAAGGGATAAAAAACTGTTCTCAGGAGTCCATTGCAGGTATGAAAATCTTTTAAAAGCATGGCCGTAGCAAGATGATTTTGAGGGACAGAGACCAAAGACAGAGCCACCAGTAATGACATTATGGAACCATTCCAGGAAGAGGTGATCGAGGATCTGATGAGGGCAGTAGGTTTGAAGAGAAGAAATGTGTGAAAGAACCATCAGAAGTAGAACTTAGGCCAGGTGTGATGGCTCATGCCTGTATAATCCCAGCACTTTAGGAGGCCGAGGTGAGAGGATCACTTGAGCCCAGGAGTTCAAGACCTGCCTGGACAAAATAGGGAGACCCTGTCTCTACAAAAAATTAATAAATTAAAAAATTTGGCATGGTGACTTGTACCTATAGTTTCACCTATTCGAGAGGCTGGGGTGGGGAGATTGTTTGGGTTCAGGAAGTCAAAGCTGCAGTGAGCTATGATCATGCCACTGCACTGCAGTCTGGGTGATAAGCGAGACCTTGTCTCAAAAAAAAAAA